TGCTATCTAAGGCAAGTTGGTCTGGAGTGGAAACTTCCCCAAACCAAACAAAGATCAGGACAAAGCCGCTAATGGTTTGATTCAAGCTGGCGACCTTTGTTGCATGCAATGCCCCTCTCTCTCCCCATTACCTCTCTGCCTCTGCTGTCTAATAAAGGCAAAAATGCCCTGAAGTTTCAAATCTTTTTCTGGCACAAACAAAAAGAAAGTCTAAGAGCTTTGTTGGACTTTGTTTACCCAGAATTGTTTAGTTTAAACCTGCTTGATAAGTGTCCTGAGATAACTTCTGTTGTGACTTGGCACTATACAAATAAATTGAATAGAAAATGATTAGTAAGTAGACAAATACATTGCATTAGTTTGTACAATTACATACATTTGAATTTTCAGCTACATTGACTTCTTGTGTCTGTGCAGTGCATCCAGTGTAGGCGACATCAACTCAAAGGTACAGTTCCTTGGGCTGGAAACAGTGGATCTGAACTAAACTGCCAGTGTGAAAGCACCCTTACACTAGACCATGTCCTCAGGTCCCTTCCATATCAGGGGGTCTCTTTTTTAAAATCAATTTGTGCACGGGTAGATTCAAGATCCAATTTGAAACAGAAAACTAGGAGGGACTTCATCTCCCAGAATGCCCTGAGCAGCATCTGCTGGAGGATCCTGGATTAACAGCTAGAAGATGGATGGTTGGATGATGTGTTTCCTCTGTTACTGTGTGCATCGCTGCAGTACAGGCTCCCTCCTGCACATGTCGAAGCTTCATGAGGAGTTTCACTCAGAGAGGAAGACGTCCAGAGGGAGACCACTACATCTGATTGGCTGATGACTCTTAAAAGGCCACCAATCAGACACCATCCTCACTGTGTGACTGCGTGTGTTTCCCTCTCCTTTTCTGAACGCACTGTGTCAGCCTGCGCATATTTTTATGTTTGCAGGGCTGCATGCATGCATGAGTGTGTGCAGGATGCTACAATCTGGAACTGTGAAGGAGGGGGAGGGGCGAGGATAGAGAAGCTGAAGAAATAGATGAAAAAAGAAAGAAAAGAGGGATATATAGAAGAGAAGAAGAAGGGAGGAGGACAGTGAGGAGAGGGCAGATGCTGAGGAGAGAGTGGTAGTGAAAAGCACACTGAGGAGAGATTTAGGGAGAGAGTGAGGAGGAGGAGGAGGAGGAGGAGGAGGAGGAGGAAGAGACGATCTGCTGGAGGAAGCAGCAGCATCGTTGATTTTCATAGGAACTGAGGCAGCTGTCCTCTGTTGCCGTGACGATGGGCTGCTGGCTCTCTGGACCGTGGATGGGTGACCAAACGGTGAGCGGCCAAAGACCTACCTCAGTGTTATATTTGATGCTATGTCTGTTTTATGATGTCTCGTTTGAAGAAGATGGAACTGAGCCCTGTGAGGCACGTTCAGGTGTGTGTGTGTGTGTGTGTGTGTGTGTGTGTGTGTGTGTGTGTGGGGGGGGTGTATGCAGATGCAAAATGGCATCATTTCATGATTTGTGCAGGGTGCTGCTGTTGTGTGTGTGGATGATAAAACTAATTTGTGTGTGTTTAAATCTCAACAGCATAGTTCACAGTTGAATTTTTCGGAAAATAGATAGAAATTGATGGTTTCACATTCTTCATCTCCATCTGCTGAAGGCTAACAGTCGCTCTGCTCCCGTCCTCTGTCTCCACACACAGGTGCCATTTTGTGCTTCTCAGCTCATACTGTGTGTGTGTGTGTGTGTGTGTGTGTGTGTGTGTGTGTACGTGTGTGTGTCTGGTTGAATGTAGCGGAGGGTGACTCATGTTTGTGATGTGCTGGAGTTAACAATACTGTTCATGCGTCTAATTCGATGGCTGCCGAGCTGCATGTGTGTGCGTGTGTGTGTATGTGTGTGTGTGTGAAGCAGTATGAGGTTTGTGTTGGCTCGTAGGTGTTAACCCTTCAGTGCTAACATGGACACCATATCCAAATTCATAGTCATATTTGATTTAAATTGCCAAAATTTGACTGTTTGTCTGTCATACTGGAATAAATCCACCATCTGTCTGCAGGCAGTGACCCAGTTGCATAATGTTGATTAATTCAGAGTTTTCAGCCTGTAGTGTGTTCACACAGTAAAAAGGACCATGAAGTGCGGTTAAAATGGTAGCATGCTGACTATAATTTGATTATAGTATCGTTTACGTTTTCCCACAATGCATGGCTGGATTAAAGCATTCCTCTAGTGTTTCAGTCTGTCACTTCCATAAAGTTGTTGATGTTGTGAACGAACAGTGCAGCAGAGGGTGAGATATATCGACTTTTAGTGCCTACTATGGGTCGAACTCTGGATCCTACATTTCCCATAATGCAGCTGGATAGCGTCTTGTCATTAGACTCTCCCTGCCTGATAAACAACCATCAGGGTTTTTTTTTCAGACTTGACAAAGCTCCTCCAGAGCCACAGATGATTATACTTTTACATTCTGAGGAAGACGAGTCGTTTTTCTAACCATGATGAGTAAACTGATCTACATGTAAAACAGGTGGTGTGCAGGTATTCAATATTGGAGGTCATCTAGGATTCAGTAAATATTGCCGTAAATGAGTCCTGCTCAGTAATTTATTTAACACTGCTAACAATGGACGACCAACTGTCGCCAGCACGATGCTAATAATGCTAAAAGCTGTAGGATGCATGTTAGGGAGGCAGATGGATATTATTGCAATTGTTCACCATGTTGCAATTGTTGCCTGCTTGTCTCAGGTGAGTGGGCGGAGTCTGGCACACCTGAGCCAGCGGGATGCTCTGCGAATCCTGGCGGCCAGTCAGCGACCAATCACAATGCAGATCAAGGGTCAGAGGGGGTGTGGCACCGAGGCAGACAGGGGAGCCTGGGAGCCCCTTCCCCTCAACCTGCAGCACCTCAACCTGCCCCTTCCACGTATGGGGGCGGGGCTTAATGCCTCCAGCCCCTCCTACCAGGACAGGTACACAGACATAGAAAGAAAATGAGGATCTGTATAGTTGACTAATAGCCGAATTACTGTGTAGAACAACTAAAATGTCAACACACTGTAATTCTTGCAAGTCATAACTAAAGGTGCAACTGTAAAATAAGAAGGACCCAGAAATTGTTTAAAAAGTCAGTACAGGTGTCTAAGTGTGTGTGGTTTTCTGGGTTCTTCTCAGGCATTACTAAACCCAAAATGTCTTTTACACACACAACTAGAAATACTACATGATCAATAGGACAAAAATGCTTCACTCAAACACTGCTCACACTGAGTTGGATGAGACAGCGCTTTCTGCTGCATTGAACCATGACAGCAGCTTTTTCAAAAATCACCATTTTCCATCATCACCATTGTGTGTTTATTAAGCCGCTCTAGAGAAAGCTCTGGATAAACTACATTTCAAGGAATTAATAAATACAGGTTTAGGTTGCCTGAAAAGTTAAAGACTTATATTCTGATGGATTCATAATAATTATTATAATATAATAATTATTATAATAATATATTATAATTATAATTATTATTATAATATAATAATTATTATAATATAATAATAAATAATTGAACTGTATTAATTAACAAAACAATTGACAAACTCAAGTGAATGTATGACATAATTAAAAATATTTAAGCTCAACTTTCATGTCTAAATGAAATAGATTATATCATAGCTGATGTCTGCAACAGTCTGTAGTTCTGCTGAGTAACAGGATAAAAAAAAAACATTTTGAAAATGAGTCTTGAAAATGTCTTAATTTAGTTTTCTTATCACCTGTTTTAGACATTATTACAGCCATCTGTCTCTGCCACAAGATCACTGTGAAGGAGGACGATACAGCTACCTGTCCAGCTCTCCACGGGACACTGTGGACATCGGCCACCAGGTGACACTAAGAAAAAGTTCTGTAGGAACAATAACATGAATACACAAACTGGGTGATTGTAATGCCAAAAATAGGAGTTTCTCCGAAATATGACTAAATAGACATGAATGAACGACCCATAAATACACAGAAGCTTTGTGTTGAGTCTCATTTTCTTTGTTTCACATCGTGAATCCTCCAGGATCCAGAACTGACTGGTCGTGGACCAAAAGGACAGAACTGCCTGATGGGATGTTGCAATGCAAACTTAGAGGAACCTAACGGCTGTCACAGTCAGGTATCCAAAACTTGCTATGTATGATTTTTTTTTTTAGAAGAATAAAAATAACAGTAGAAATGACAGAAGCTGAGTGTCATAGAGCTCCATTGTTGTAAAGCACTATTAAAAACACATCAACGAGCCTCACAGACACTGTATTATTGTTATTTTGACTCAGTCCCACATACACAATACCGCTGCCAGAAATACTGGAGCGCCAAATGTGGATTAATTTGCTCAATGCTCAGTGCCACAGACTGGGTAGGGAAGTCAAAAAGTATTGAGAGATGGATGAACACATTGTTCTTATCATGAAATTTGTTGAAAAGAACAATACAGAAAATTGGCTGCCTTATTTTTTTAACTAAATAAGCCACACTTCTCAAATGCGTTAGTTTAATGTTATCCAGTCATACAAGTACTTTGCCAACATAAATTACAACTAAAATAAACAAAATCAATATTTAAATCAGGAAATATCTGATCAAAGAATAAGTAACTAGAATCTGACCAAGAATTCACTACTAAGCTTCAGTATTCCATCAGTTTCCCACTGATACAGACACATTTAGTCATTACTCAGAAGGCACTAGTGTCCCATGCACAGATAAAACAACAAATACGTAGTTATTTATAGTTTTTTGGTGTGTTTATTTGTGTAAATGACCTTGGAACTGAGGATGCCTGTTGTTGCAGACGGATGACGAGGACTTTATGCTGGAGAAGCCGCTGGGCTTCCTGCCCCTCCACCATGAGCTGGACAGTGGGCTGGGCTGGACTGATGGCTCCCTCCACCAGGGAGACCTTTCGGGGCTGGAGACCGAAGAGGGAGGACTGGAGGACTGTCATTCACATGGGGCCCTCGCCCCGGGAGGTTGCGGGGGCTTTGGAGGTGGTGGCTCTCCTTCCTCTGAGTCCTTTATATCCTCGGAGCTCAGTGACTCTGGCTTCTACAGTGTGAGCACCGGGGAGTTCAGGCACTTCCAGAGGCTGCTGGAGAAACGAATGCGGCTGTACAACGCCAGGCTGCAACATCAAGGTGAACCCTGTGAGAGGCGGGAGCGGCGTGACAGTTGTCCGAAGAGCCACCGCGAGCTGCTGGAGGCCATTCCCGAGGCACTGACTGTGCAGCCTCAGTGTCAACGCCTGCAGCTTGCAATGGAGGAAGGTGCTGGGCCTGTCATGGACCTCCCACCCCGAGGACTTTTCAGGTACCAGCTGATAGAATAACTGCCCCTTTACACAAATTCTGTCAGGCTTTTGAAAAGACAGCTCATTCAAAGGTAACGAAACATTTTCAGGTGATTATACCATAATGAAACATAATGATGAATATTATATTACATTTCTTTTTTTTCCAGTATGTTCCCTTATACCAGCCTAAACCAGTTTATTCCTTGTTCAAACAAGTTTAAACCCATTTAAAATCAGTCAATTGAAACTGATTGAAACCAGTTTACCAGCCTTTTAAATACCAGTTTAAACCAGTTGGTATCGAGTGCAAGTTGTTGGTTAAACCAGTTTAAACCAATTTAAAATCTATTTAGACTCATTTAAAACAGCTAATTAATAAGCTAATTTAATTATACCGGATGAAAAAGCGGGTTGGGTGCAGTTTATCTAGCCTATGATTTAAACCCTTTTTGAACCAGTTTATAAATCGTTGAAAAACGGTTCAAAATCAGTTTAAACAAAATCATATCTATGTTTTTAATGTAGTTTTAAACCCATTAAAAAACAGTCACAGGTTTTCTAGAGTTAAAAGACCTGAGCAGTTCAGTTTTAAATATCTATCTGAAGTTAATCTATTTGTTAGACTGGCGTTGGTCTTTATGAAACCACCCCTTGACTTCTGAACGTCACATTTTGGCACTATTAGGTTGTTGACCTTACTGTTTTTATTTCCAGGGTTTCATCAGTCCAGTTTCATAAAGCTGATCGACCTTGTCTGAACCGCCACAGCTCCAGCAGCGGGGCCCTCTTCAACCCCTCCCACGCCGCAGTCTCACGAATGACTGCCCCAGTCCTCTCCACCTGCAGCACCCCCTCCAGCCACCGAAGACCACTAATAGCAATGCAGCCGCAGCACCACCAGGGCTCCAGTTCAGTAGGGATGCTGAGGAGAAGCCGAACACTTCACCATCGCCCTCCTCAGCCGGAGTACCGCCGCCGGGCCAGCCACCCAGCTTCCCCCTCGTACTGTGCAGCAACCCTGCACCACTGTGGAGGAGTTACGCCGTGTAACGTACTGCCGCAAGGCCTGCCACAGGAAGGTGAGCTCGTGGCAGGTGTGATGGCTTCCCACCCAGCAGGCCTGGCTGTCTCACCCCAACAACATCACATCACTCTGGGGCATATTAGGGCTGCCAGCAGCCATGAGAGATTCTACGACAACAACCCCAACAGCCAGATCGCTCACCACGACTGGTGGCACTCACAAGAAAGATGCTTGATGCCTGAGCCTATGGTAACAGAAAGGGACAGAGAGATCGAGAGGGAACTGGAACAAAAAAGGCAAATGCAAAAGGAGAAAGAGATGGAGAGGGAGGCACAGATTCAAGAGGAGATGGACAGAGAGAGGCAACAGGAGCTGGGCAGGAGTCGAGCCAGAGAGCAGCAGCACCTCCAGAGTTTGGTCCACCCTCCTCAGGCAGGAGATGTCAACGACACCTGGCCAAAACCAGCTAGCCGTCAGTCCCAGGCTGGCGGAGGAGGCAGAGGTCTCTACAGTACCTTGGAGGGCCACACAGGGGCTTGCACTGCTGCTGGATGGGATGCAAAGAAAGGACACATGAATGCGAGTTCAAACCTTAATCCCAGTTGTGGTCTGCAGCCAAAACTTGATCTGAGCTCCAAACCCAACCCAACCTCACGGATCTCTAGGAACCAACTCCTGAGAGACCGAGCTTCTCAGCTGGCGGATGAACGCAGCGGGATGAGCACAGATGAGGAAACCAATACTGACATGCTGATGGGTCGGTACTGGAGTCGCACAGAGAGGAGGGAACACTTCCTGCTGGCCCGTGAGCAGAGGCAGCAGCAGCTGCAGGCCAGAGGAATGACAATACGAGAGGCTATCAGCAGGGGAGGAGCCATCGCAGGAGCAGGAGGAGTAGGAGGAGCCTCTGTTGGAGATGTAGGTATACTTGACAGCAGAGGAGGTGGACCTTTTGCAGAAGGTCGGTGCAACACAGTTCTGGAGCTGAGTCAGAGGAAACTGAGTCGCCTAAGGAACAGGAAGCTGCTGGATGACTGGACGACAGTAGAGGAGCTGCTGACTCATGGGACCAGGCTGGACAACCAGGAGGACATGCTGTGTCCCAGCTCCCTGTTGACGGTCACCACCGTCTAACTGCATGGACACCACGTCTAACTGTAACTGTGCGTGAGTGAGTGTGTGTGATGTCAAGCTTACAATACAACATTTGAGTAAATCCTTTGATTGGTCTTTTGCAGAGTCAGATGTGAAGATGGATATCAGCTTCATTTCTGTTTGTCCAGTACAGAGATAAGTCCAGGGCTTTTTTAGCCTAGCTTAGCACAAAGACTGGAAACAGAGGGAAACTGCTAGCCTAGCTCAATCTAAAGAGAGAGAGAGACAATTTGTTAATTTTAGATTAGATATATTGAATAATGGCGTAATTCATACTTTCATACCGCACCTGGCATCTGCATAGCCACAAATTTGGTTATCAAGCTAACTCAAGCCCACATTGTACTTTATACTGTGTAGCAGTGTGGATGTTTATATGTCACCCCAATATTTATATGCAGACTGTGCACACCTATGGCACAATGCACACTGTTTGCTATGCACTTGCTGTCTGTGTGTTTTACAGACTTCTGTTATCCACTTATGAAGAACAAGGTCCTCTTCATCTCTGTACTTGAAGGACAAAGCCAAAACTGATATCCATCTTCTCATATGACTCTGGAGAGAGACAGAGGTTATAAGGACCTATGGAAATGTTGGACTGTACCTTTAATGAATGTGCGCGAGAGAGGGAATCTCACTGTTATTGCTGTACATCACCTCAACTGATAGCTTTATGTGTGGGTGTGTCACCACTGTACAGCACTCCGGACAAAATGTGTGTGTCAGTGCATGACGCTTGTAATGACAAACAACCGAACAAGGTCAGATGAGCGTGTGTGTTTGCGTCATGTGTTTCATGCTACATCTTATGCTACATTTATTTCACACAATCTTTGACAAAATTACAAAAATTTGGGTTTGGACTCAAAAGATTTCGGGGAGCAATACTGTTCTGCGTGATGTACCTGGCTGTGCACTAACGATAGATCACACACAACTACTTTTACATCAGGAACAGAACACATCAACTGTAGCAATGCAGACAATGACAACTGAGATTTGATACCAAATCCTGAATGGTTTTTATAGAAACTCTGTTTACAATTAAAATATCAATCGGTGGGAGCTTTTGTAACTAAAAATGATATAAAACACGGCCTGATTTACTTGCTTGTGCAACACTGGTCAAACCGTGTTGATCAGGGATGGGGAACAATGTGCCATGGAGGTTTGCAGAAGATTTTGACCACAGCTTTAATCCGTAAAATCAGATGCTGCTTTGTTTTTTAACATGTTCACGCCAACCTCCAAACTGTGAGTTCTGAGTTAGAGGCATTTGCAAGAATGAAATGTCACTAAAACAGTGGCAAAATGGTTGGAAAGTCTCTACCACTAGCAGTTATATCTAAATAAAATGCACTATTACTGACACCCAAAATTACTAATACAATTGATGCAAATAATAAAAAAGGAGCAATACGCTCCTACAAACTTCTAACATCTCTCTCTCTCTCTATATATATATATAGGTAATACAATACCTAATTTAGACATAATATCCATTTATCTGGTGTGGGTACAGGGCTACCAACAGACTTGTTTGAAACAGTGTGTAACCTGCCGATGTAAGTGCAGTTTTAATGTACTGCCTTGCTCTCCAGGTGACCATGGCCACCACAGAAACCACACCAATTAAAACAATACATTTAATTTTAATCTATAACTGCTTTTATGAGCAGGAGTACCATGAATTATACACCTTTCCACCAGCAAAAATATCATATAGGAAATATTGGTTAGCTGAACAAATCTCTCTTACCCTATGTGCTGAGAATAGAGAAGATGGATAGCAGAAACTAGCTGAAAGCACCCTGCTTCCACCCAGTCAAAATGCAGAACACCAACATTGTTCCAAAGTCATACGTTTTTTCCCCCATTCTTGCTGTTCTGCTAACATGCCATCAAAGCAGCAAAAAAGTTTTGGCCCCTTCATGGCTCATGGCTCCCTGTTCCTGGTGTTGTCTTTACTGTTGGCAGGATGTTTACAGATCTACCTACCAAGGTAACAGCTTATGCATGTTTACTGAAATCTACAGTGATGCGTTGACTGTGTGGAGACCATTTTACAGAAGAGAAGATACACCTCAAGTCAACTTTTCGTTAGGTTGTCCAGACTGCTGGAGCGTCTTTACAGTCAGGACAGACAGAGCTCAAGTCAGTGTTGTTGACATTCCATTTATAGCACGTACAGTGTGAGTAAATCTGAAATCTACTGATTCCAGGTCTGCAGTTCGGGAAAATGTGCAATAATACCTCAAGCTAGTTTTAATACGATAATGACAGTGTTGTGTGCGCTACCTGTCAGATTTCCATCGAATGCAGTAACTCGTTTTAAATCAAACAGATGCACAAAAGTGACGAGTCACCACAAGTGCACAGTAATCCTAGAATCTAAAATGGCAACAGCAAAGGTTATTGTAGATATTTACATTATTTCTTTACATTGTTTTCCATGAGAGGGACCTAAGAAAACAACTTTTTGCACATCATTTTTTATACGAAACGTTTTCCCTACCTTTCTGTACCAGGGACCGAGGCCAGTGAAACGACTGTAGATAGAATGACAGTGTGTGTTGATGTTTTCTTTATAAACTATCATAGTGATTTATGGAGGAAAAAAAACAGTTTATTGTCATTGTGTTGGACATATTTCAATATTTTTCTTGTGATGGTTACAAAACCAATGTGAACAGTTTTTATGATCTTTAAAATCTTTAAAATCAACTTAATTTACTTAAAAGCTGGTGAAACTTTGATTTACCATTTCAACACAAAATGTGAATATTATTGTCTCTTTAAATGGCTAAATTGAATTTTACTGTTGTTTTGTGTCATTATGACATGTACATATTGATTTTGTCAGAAGGTGCAGATGAGGTTCGAGTTAGAAACAGGACATGCAGGTGCCATCAGACGCCTCCAGTGGTTTATCATGTGATTCTGTAGGTTTATAGCTGTGTTATGGAGGCTGTATATACAGCACAGAGGTTAACTTTGTAGTATTAGTATGTTTAACACTCACAATATTGTCAGAATTCATGGAAAGTGGTTCAGTTTGTTCTGAATGTTAAATGTGGCATCCATGAATTATGAGTAGGATCACTGAAGCTCTAATTCTTAAAGGAATACGACAACATGTTGTATAAATCTTCTTGTTCTCTGTCTTCTCCAGAGCTAGATGTTTCATATATCAGTTTCATCTTTGTGTGTCCATTACAGAGGTGGGTCCAGGATGTGTTTAGCCTGGCTTTGCACAAATACAGGAAGCAAAAGAACAAAAAAACAACCTTCCAACAACTCCAAAGCTGAAATCCATCCAACTGTTGTTGAGGTATTTCATTCTGGACCAGTTTGTGGTGGACTAAAAGATGTTGCTTTAGTGTGGCTAAAAAAACCCACTTTCTTACAACTCCAGAGCTGTCTGATTTATGTATACTGTTACATTTATGTATCCTGTCCGTCAACAAGCTACTCATCAATCTAACAATTTGTGAACAACCTCAAGAAAGTAAAAAAAGAAGCTGACTAATACACTTCCTATTTTCCTTCCTGGAGGAGGTAGAGCAGGAAAAGCAAAGGTGTAAATAATCAAATTAATAATGGCCAAATTCATTTTGGCTGCTTTGTTTTCAGGACCATGGCAAGCTGGCTAACACTGATACTGTCATGGCTTACTGGTAGACTTGATTAGAACAGAGCCAAATGTCATTAGTGTGTCATAACATGTCATAACATCTGTGCTTTTCCTACTATGACAAGTCAGAATGTCCTCCTTAAAAAAAGGCAGGCCCCATAGAAAGCCAAAGGGAGACTGAAACTCAGAGGTTCTATTCCACAAGACAAATAATAATGCAAATTAATAAAATCCAGTCTTGGAACATAGCTGCCTGTCTACAGCCACATGGTACAGCACAACCACACTAAGCTATGATCGGTCAATCGTGAATTGGTTTAGCGATCATTCAGGTGCTCTGGAGGATGGTTCATAGTCAGTTGTGATGGGGTAGCCAAGACTTTATCCAAATGTTCTATACATATTTCTTAGTTTGCGAGAAAGCTGCTTTTTGGTAACATAGGTAGCTTTATGGGTAGGTTATAGAAATTTAGAAAAAAATACATGCCTAGTGGTGTGAATGGGCCCAACCGTGTTATACCCTGAATATCACTGAGAGCTCATTTCGTTCTTCAGTCTGACATGGTGTTCATGTTTTCTATTTTGGAGTAGGGGTGACTGTTATATAGTGACTATACTCGCTGACATATTGGAATCCCTGAAGAAATTGAAAATGTGAGCAGTGATTCTGAAGTCTGAAAGCAGGCTAAGCTGGGTGTAGTGACTACATCTCAAAAGTTCTTTACTTATAGGGCCGCTGTCGGGTCGTTTTGTTCAAATCAGACACCTTTGGAGTTGCTGGAAGGGGGAATTTCTCTATTTATTGAACTAGGATAGCAGTTTCCCCCTGCTGCGCTAAGCTAAGCAAGTCCTGGGCCTATCTCTGTACTGGACACACTTTGATAAAACTGATACCCATCTTCTCATCTGAATGTGGACACAACAGAGAAAAAGAGCATTTACAGAAAAGTCGAACTGTTTGGAATCAGGCGCAGAAGATGTGGAATCAAACCTCCACCCTGTTTGTTTCCACATTTTCCCTCTCTCTCGACTGTGACTCAAACAGTATGAATAATGGATGACGAAGAAAGAATTTTTCCTTCCCACCCGCCCCCCTTCACTCTCTTTGCTTACGTTACACAAGGACACAGAGCTGAAAATAGCGCTGCTGTCCTCATGTGATGTGAAATTAAAAGCACACTGGAGCGGAGACACTTGCTGCTGGGGAACTCAACACTTGTTTTACTCCATCTGACAATCCCTCCATCCAGCCTGCAACACCATCTGTCTGTGCAAGAGTACTTTTCACAACAGCAAGCTTTTTGGAATATGATGATGTACATGTGATTGTAATAAAGAGATTTTAATTAGCTATGACATAGTAGTTTTGTGTTTTCATTGATATGTTAACACGTTGCTGACATTTGGGATGTCCTGTTCAGATACTTTGGGTTGTTTCAGTCACGATAACAGGTTTTAATAGGTGAATAATGTAATACCTCATTAATTGATGCCAATTTTTTTAAGGTTCAATGAAGTGAAGTCAACAGATTTCATCACAGTCCCTTCATCAGTTATTGGCCTGGACCTACATAAAACATACATTAACACACACATTAATTCCCGTCGGGTCATTAATTTATTAACCATAAAATGAATAAGTCATGGACTTTTTTTATTTAGTGCTGCCAAGGTTAGTAAATCGATAAATCCATAAGAAAATAACTGTATTTTATAAGGTTTTAAGGGCTGCAGATGGCATTAGAAAAATTATATAATTGCACCAGATATGTATTATGCAGCTTCTCTGAAGAAGAAAGAGGTTATTTATAATCAATGAATTTATAATTAACTTTGTCACACGATAACAACAGAGCCGTCGCTACTACACAAACAAAATCCATCTGCTGATAAAGACCATGAGATGCAGCTAAAAATTCTGGATTCTGCAAGTATCCTTTGCTGCATTTGTGTTACTTTTAATATTTTCATAGTAGTACATACATTTTAGTTTAAATTTAAATGTTTTAATTTAATTGGACTACGCTTCTCATAACATACCTTTTTCAAAGCAACAATTTTGAATAGTTACACAAGTGTTACAAATGATGTTATTCTATTCAGAGTCAGGGTGCTGTTACTGTATATGTTGGCTCACTGGAAAGGCCCTGCTGCACTAAATGTAGACCTCTTCAGGCCAGAGATCCAACCATGGCACCTACAGCACTACAGCAATGACCAGTTCTCAGGAGAATCTGACTCTGACCCACATGGTAAATGGAAGATTCAAGGAGATTCAATCATCGTTCATGACATGTTGTCTATGTCTGCTCACACTTTATTCCAGAATACGTTTATTAATGATTTTCTTCTTCTTTCTGCAGCTCAGAAAGACACAGAGAGCGAATCAACAGCAGCATTGAGCAGCTCAAGTCTCTCCTGGGTCCAGAGTTCCGGAGAAAGCAGACATCCTGGAGATGACAGTTTGTGTCCTGAGATGACTGCAGCAGCAGCATCAAGCTGTGGACTCAGCAGCTGTTGATCAGGGCTACTCCAGGTGTGTGTCCAAGAGGTGACACACTTCCTGTCCAAGGAACAGGTGAAGACACAGTCCCAGAGAAGACTGATGAACCATTTCAACAAGCTGCAGTCTTCCTCTGATAAGAACCTGAGAGAGGCTGACTTCTCTCTGCTGAGCTCCACAGTCCAGACCAGCATCACCAAAGACAAGAGTCCAGTCAACAGTGCCCTCTGGAGGCCGTGGTAGACACCTACATTCTGGAGTTACTACAAGACAAACTCAGATGACCACATTGGTCAAAGATTACTGGACTGAATTCTTTGAAATAGTTTGAACTAATTCTTCCGTATATATAGAAGGTTGTTTAGATACTTCTGTGACATGTTATGACATCTCTTATGTCTTTCACAGGGTGTCATTAATGCATGTTTCATTAACCAAAAGTAGGGGAGAGTCGGGTAACTTGTTGCTAGGAAATGGTTGAAAGCATTGATCATGTGACCAAATATTTAGGAGGAAGGCATCATTTCATGGAGTCTGTGAATGTAAGAACCACAAAGTAAAGTGGTTAGATATTTATTTCCAAAAAATCATTTTTCACTCTTGAGAGTGAATTTAGTCTATCATAAGTTTCATGAGAATTGTGTTTAGACCAAAATAGATAATTTTAAATTGGTTTTATACATCAATTGTGGTATCTATGAGCTACAACATGAGGTCATAAACCTAGCATAAAAGTGCACCATTTTAGCTGTGGGGACTAATAAAGTGAAAATGGTAGCTCTGGGGTAGGTTGAGCCAGTAGGTAGTAGTAGGGATACGGCTCAACTTACCCCACTCCTATGCTCAACTTACCCCATACACGGGGTGAGTTGAGCCACGAGACCACTTTTTTTGGAGATGCTATATAATCACAACAGTTATACTGTTACACTCTGTTTGTTTGAAGGGATGCACAACATCCAGAAATATATGCAGATATATTAGTTAGCGACAAAACTATGATTGCCTTGATGTAGTGATCCTAAATAAGAAAAATGGCTCATCTTACCCCACTCTCCCCTAACGTAAATGAGCATTTACTACTATGCACAACTGTATACCACTTTCTGGTGGTATGAGATGAAATAATACCAATTAATTATCATTTTGATTCTCTAATTGTCCACTGTGGGGTCATTTTGTCAAAATAGACTTGATCTCATAACTGCTATCTCTGATTACTCTACATTTATGTCAGAGGATCAATGTGTTCTTTTTCTTTTATGAAAATGCATTGATTTAACTGGGTATTAACCTACTCATATCACTTTATGATTATCTTAATCTGATATATTGTGAGATCAGTTTTTCATTAGCTGTATCATTATTTTATATAATTTTTTAAGTCTCACTTGTAAATGAGATGTCGATCTCAGTGTGACTTCCTGATTGAATAAAATATATATATAATTTGTTGCATTTTTCATGTAGTGTGTGAGGTGATAAATAATGAGACACACTTATTGATTGTAAAAGCAGTGAATGGCTTCAAAGAACCAGAGAAAACTCATCCACAGAGTCCCAATGGGACAACAAATTGTGACCTCTGTTCTAAAGAGACAAAGTTTAAGAGGGAATAATGTGGCATTCAATTAATAATAACCTGCTTATTTGTTTCAAATCATGCATAAAGTTTATGTATTGTTAAAACAAGTAATTGTCAAAGTTCTTGAAATACTGCAAGTTGGTCAAGTGGAACAGAATATGTTTTATGATTTAACATAACAGAGCACAAAATGTCTGTAAGTTACACATTAGATGAAACCATAACTCACACAAAGAGCTGAAGACTGTTTGAATCTCAGAGCAGAGCAATGTGAGGATTAAAACCTATTTTACTCTTATTTCCGTGGATATTTTTTATTATAAGCTTTCTATTTTCCAAGAATGTGCATTAATATCCTACTGGCCAGCAAAATGTTATGGTGTTGGTAAAACAATGCATTAAACCAATAAAATAAAAATAATTTCTTCTACTTGTGCCAAAGACAATCCTGTTTTAACATGCACTTACAAAGTGTGGGAAAGCTTTGGAGGACTGAGTCACATTCCAGCATCCTTAACCCCACCAGCCACCGACCATTGTCCACAGGAATCTGACACGCTTCAAGAAACATCTGTCTCAACCTCCCACGTTCGTATATAGAATTGATCCACTTCATACTACAAAGATTCTATTTTGACAAGGGATTTAAATTTGCTACAGGTACAAGTTGAAAAAGTAGCAAATTTAGTATGATTAACACTTTTTTTTGTATTTTGAAATTTTATCAAACCATGGAGGAGACCAATAGTGTTATTTCCCTCCAGATGGTTGCTGACATCAGGCTCTGTCCCTGTTAATACACAAGACCAGCCTCCATCACAAAAGCTCCTTTCAAAGCTCTTTTGTTGTGCACTGACCACATCATGCAAAGACTCAGTGTGGGAAACTGAGAGCAACTTTCTACTCACACCGACTACCAGCCAAAAGAGAGAGGACACACCTGCTGGACACCAGGATGACTTTATCTCAGTTATCATTTCAGTTAATGTTGTTTGCAAGTGCCTGATTTGATTTAAAAATAACATAAAATATTTGGTGAAGTGTACAGTACCACATTGTATATAGTAGACCGATATATTTGATAGAAGAAGTGTTAATTTACACCTATAAAATCAAACTAAAGGGTAAATATCATAAACGTGTGCTCAGTCAAAGTCATTGATCCCAGCATCAGGCAGCAGATCTGCTCTCTACAGGGTCACCACTTTCCCAGATTCACAAAGAGCTTTGTGAGTCGCTCTCCATCACGCCCCCAGTCCTCCACCTGTTCCCCTGAGATATAACCATTGTACCCATCTAAGATGACCACTAAGCATGTGGCAGCTCAACGTATGTATTTCTCTTGTTGGACTCTCTGATTGGCTACAGAATGTGAGAAACTCGAACCAGACCAAGACCCACACATTCATATGGAGATGTGGGACTATAAATAGGAGGGATGAAGCCAGCAGAGATCAGATTCTCTCTACAGAGACCTCTACAGCACAGAGATCCAGCCATGGCACCTACAATCACTGCCGCAATGACCAATTCTCAGGAGCATCTGACTCTGACCCACAAGGTAAATTGAAGATTCAAGAAGATTTAAATAGTGTTAATGAGATGTTATCTTGTTTTATATTATTGCTATGTTCCAGAATAAGATTATTAATGACTTTCTTCTTCTTTCTGCAGCTCAGAAAACCTCTGGTGGAAAGCATGCTGTGGACTCAGCAGCTGTTGATCAGGGCTACTCCAGGTGTGTCCAAGAGGTGACACACTTCCTGTCCAAGGAACAGGTGAAGACACAGTCCCAGAGAAGACTGCTGAACCACTTCAACCAGCTGCAGTCTTCCTCTGATAAGAACCTGAGAGAGGCTGACTTCTCTCTTCTGAGCTCCACAGTCCAGACCAGCATCACCAAAGATAAGAGTCCAGTCCACAGCGCCCTCTGGAGGCCGTGGTAGACACCTACATTCTGGAGTTACTACCAGACAAACTCAGATGACCACATTGGTCAAAGATTACTGGACTGAATTCTTTGAAATTGTATGAACTTGTTCTTCTGTGTGTACAGAAGGTTGTATTTTGTGTTTTTCTTGGTGCAAGATGATATTTCCTAAGGAAATGACAGCAACAATATCTTTCATGTTAAGAAAGAGAACATCTTGTCATGCATGTTGAATGAACATATCTGATTGCATCAGCAATTATTATTATACCTCACTGTACTTCATGTATTGGTAGTATATTCTATGGTAACATCTGTTATCTTTTGATTGTTATTGA